TCCTTCCATCCTTCCATCCTTCCATCCTTCCATCCTTCCATCCTTCCTTCCTCAAGCTTGGCACTTCTAAGTAATCTAAAATCAGCTACTGACCGCTGATAGTGTTGGTCGACGTCTGCCTTAGCGTCCTTCAGACCAGCACCAATATTTTCCATATCTTTCTCTACGATGTCCTTGTCTTCCTCGGCGAGATCTTCATCATCGAGAAGCTCATTACCATATTCAAAACTCTCTTGAATTAATGGGATGACTTCAGCGAGTCTGTCCATGAATTCCTGTGAAACACCAAGATACATGTATGACACGAAGTATGTATCTCAGGGTACATCTTTCCAGAAATGCAAAGGTATATACGTCATGGGAAGTATTTGCGAATCAGCAATCGGTTGTTATAAATGCAGCTACCAATACTGAGTTACTATTTGAAGTATTTAGCCTGGGCATTTAAGTAACGGTAATATACTTGGTTCAACCTGACCAATTGGCCCATTTGCTCGACTATCCAATTTCAAATTTTTTTCCGGAACTTTTTAAAATATGAAATTTAAAATCCTCATAAAGGTATTTCGAAAAAGGTTGACGAAGGCTTTGTTGAACTGAGCTTGAAATGTGTGATGTGAATAATGTCATCAGAGCTGGCAAAACGAGCAGACAAAGTTTGGGAAAATTTCAAATCGTTCTGACCTTTGGTTGTGACCTTGGTATTCACATTACCCATAGTGCATTTCAGGCTTCGTATGCAACATGCAGCCTGCACAAAAGAAAACTTCCCAATCATTTATTTGAAATAGCAGTATTCTTACCTCTGTTCTGTCAAGCTGATCGTCGATCTCTTCCTGTGTCTTTGGAGTTTTCTCTGATATGACCTCATCCAAGTCTTGTTTACCCTCGTCTAAAATGCCGTTTAGTCTGTTACGATATTCAAACCATCTTTGCATTTTGAGGTTTTCAGTCGTATCTTTGTCTGGCGTCCTAAAGAAAAAAACCCAGAAATGAGAAATATTAAACCTTGACACTCTACTGACTTTTCCATTCAAGCACTGTGATTGGTTGATTTAAATTTTCGCGCCTCGTGATTGGTTCCAGCAAAATTATTATAACATGACCCTTTACTGGCTTCCCTATTCAAGTAATGTGATTGGCTGATTTAAATTTTGCCGCCTTGTGATTGGTGCCAGCAATAATTAGTAACTTACCTTTCTTTTTCGCCATATCCTTCGTGGAATATCAAATCCCAGTCGTCTCTCTCTGAGAACTGTTCACTGATAAGCTAAAACAAACAAGCCAAACAAATCGACGTCAACTATGACGTGACTAACACCATGTGACCATTTGTACACCATATTTAATTACTCGCTAGATTTATCATGCTTATACAGTGCATAACCCCTCATTATAACTGACACCTAAATGGGACCCTAACCTTTATAAAGCGGACGCTAGGCAAAGTAGAAAGTACCAAAGGTGCCCGCTTAAATAAAGTCACCACTAGATCAATGCAGTAGTATTTTTAGTATAGAGTAGTCATACGAGCAAGTTCGGGAAACCTTCGTTACCTCTTCGTCGACTTTGTTTTCTTCCGGCTTTTGTTGTGAATGAGGCGATCGACCCAAAAGATCTCCAAGCCTTTGGAGAAAGCAAAAAAACTAAAGTTATTACGTGGGAAAGTGAATTAATTGTGAAAAGAAAAAAAGAATCCAAGGAAAAGATAAATAGAAATAAATAAATAAATAAAACCGAAAAACGATTAAAAAAGATAAAAATCAAAGAATCAAAGTGATGAGTAGAAAGGAGAAAATGAAAAAAAATGAAGGAATGGGATATATATATATAAGCACTGGCTAATCGTGTTCTTGTGAATTTAAAGAAAGACATGATGAATCGCGTAGATAAACAGAAAGAAGCAAATGGAAAATGGAAAAAAATTGGAAAAGAAAAAATGAAAAACTTAGCACTCACTGATTTTGTTCTTCGTTGGCTTTCTTGTAGAGAGTTTTCAGCTGAATCTCTAGTTCTGTGATGTATTTTCTGATCTTTTCTTTTTCTTCTTGATTCAAATCGTCGTCTTTAAGCAGCTCGTTAGCACAGACCAGGGACTTCCTGACGTAAGGCTGCGACTCCTCAATATCTTCCTTGATATCCTGAAATATAGCAGCAAAAAATAAAGAAATAATCGGAACAAGAAGCGTGGTTTCCATGAGGGTAGGGCTACTCTAATCTTAGAAACAAGTCCTCTGTTTTCGTTCCTCAAGGGAAACAACCCCCCCCCCCCCCCCAAAAAAAAACAAGCGTTAGACCTAGCCACCCTACCCATGGGATCAATGAAATGTAAATCCCTACCCCTAGCCCCTTAGGCCTATTACCGTCACGTGACCATTACCTTAGCCTCGTCTTGTTGTTCTTGTATATCGCTTCTATTCTTTGGGGTAGACTGTACACGTTGCAGTTTTCTTTGAAGATGACGTAACATGTCATCTAATTTGTCCTTCCAGTTCCTCCATCGATCAAGCTTTTCTTCTTTCTTGGCCTCGCGCCTGCGCAGAAATAAAACCAAAGGCGTTACCACGCATAGACCCCTTGATCTCATGGCGCCATTAAAATGAAAACCCTTTGTTCAATCCTGCATAACCTCGTCTTGAAACACTTGAATGCGAGGCTACGCTAAGAAAATCTATTGTTCCAGGTAACTTGTTATCCGCGTGAAAAAGTGTGATTTCTCTTATGAAAAGTCATGAGAGTAAAACTATGGCGGCCATTTTAAAAAGTAACCAGGCCTCAAAGTTTTCTATTCGCTAATCCCTCCTCGTTTTCAAAACAGGTTACGATTCAAGATGGCTGCCACGGCTGCGCATTAAGAACACAAACCTTTCTCCATCTTCCAAGTCATCTTCCATTGTCCATATATAGTGATGTATTGGCTGTCTGACCACGAACTAAAAATAGACACATCATCTCTTAGTTGAATTAAAAATAGATTAAAACTTCTTAAAGATTTTAATACCATCTTTGCGATTTCACCTAAGGTTGTAACTCGAAACCAAATTACAAGTTTTAGACTTTAGTTGAATATATGTTGATAAAAATATTTGCCTTACTAAATAAGTTTAAAAAGCTGTGATAATGAATAGAGGCTTTGTACCATCACGTGACGGCAGCTATGTTGAGAAATAATTCAGTTCTCGTGATGGTGCAAAGCCTCTATTTAGAGATACGAGGTTGCGAAGCTTTTTGATCTCGTCTCAAAATCTGCCCCATAATCCAATGCAAGCTCGTTTCCCATACTTTCTTTAATTAGCTGAATTATTTAATGAATTTTTACCATTGAATGTACGAATTCCCCAGGATGCTCATCGCTGGTTTCTTCATCAAAGCTAAAGTCAACTCCAGGCCTCTCTCGGTGGTGAGGATCGATAGCCTGGGGAGAAAAAAGAAGATAGTTAATACTGAGAGAAAAGAAACCGATATTTAAAATTATCCATTTGATTTTACAGATAAAGTGTGAATACCTCTTCTTGGGCAATGGGCCTCGAGTATCTGGTCTTCTCTTGATGTGGTGTTCCTTGTAATAAATCGTCAAGTCTGTAAATTCATTATAAATGTTATTGTTGAGAATTTAAAATGTTATCAGAACACCCATGTCTTTTGCCTTACCTATCTTCTTCTTCACACGCTCTGGAATACACATCACGAAGATTGACCTCAAGATCAGAAATATATTGTCTTATTTTCTGCTTCTCGTTGTCATCCAACTCCTGGTCTTCTAAGAGTTCGTTAGCGCAATCAACTGCTTGAGTGATACGAGGTCTACAATCTTCAACTTCTTCTTTGCATTCCTATAATCGACACAGGTGACAGTTAAGTATCGCTTTTACTAGCGACGCAAAAGGTCTAGCATATCGTGGGTTTCAGCTAGTCATCTGGTCTATCCACTAAGGTACTTACAGTAGCGTCATCTCTCAGTTCACGTATGGCATTTTTGTCTTTAGGAGTGTCTTGTTCTGTTATTTCGTCGAGTTTTCTTTTAACTCTGTCAACGGAACCGTCCAGCTTGTCTTGCCATTTCCTCCAGTCTTCTAGTTTTTCTTCTTGTTCAGCTTCGCGCCTTGAAAATCGAAAGTCAAATTATGATCATGAATCAAGCGAAAAAACAAAATGGAACGAAAACAAAGCCAATATAGCTATATTTTTCTTTAAAAAAAGATGACGTAAAACACTGTTACCGCGAGAAAGGGAGGAAGGGAGGAAGGAAGGAAGGAAGGGAGGGAGGAAACGAGGAAGCGACGAAGCGACGAAGCGACGAAGCGACGAAGCGACGAAGCGACGAAGCGACGAATTGAGGCTCAAATGTAGAAACAAATTTTGGGTTTTTTCTTTGAGAAAACCCGGATGCAGGTGGGCGGGACTTAACGCACATCCAATCAGAACAAAGGAGTCTTATAATTGCACTAGTTTATTCAAAAGAAAAACTACAAAATATAAAAATTACCTTTCCTCTRGAGTCATGTCTTCGTGCAGTCGCAGAACATAATAATGAGTTGGCTCTTTCGACACAAACTGAAATTTTACGAGAACATTAGTTTCCCTTTACAGCATTTCCCACGCATTAACCGGATGATCAACCTCTTTTCATTTGACGTAATGTTTTCC